TATAGGTAGAATTAATTGGCTGTTGCTCAGTCTCCCAGGAAGAATTACAGTTACTACTGTTAATTAACACATTTTTCATATATCTATACAATTAGATTGCACTGCGAACTGTTTTAATGATGTACAAATAACAATAAACACTCATTTTTTCCTCTAAACGTTAGCGCTTCTCTCCCATATCTGCCTAATAACATTAATTTTGAGTAGTTTATCTTAATTTGCCAAAACATTAATTTACGATTTGTTTTGCATAAATTAGTATTAATCTACACGCCGTTTAATTTATTGCATACGATTTTTTGCAATAATTACCGCCAAATTCTTACAATTCCTCAAGATTAAATGTAATGCTTCCGATTGGGCTGAGGAAAAGAAAGTTCATTGAAATTCGATGTAATGGGGCGGTTTCTTAAACTGTAAAAAATGGTAATAAGCAGATTGTTTTATAACCGCCGTTATTTGGCTGTCACATGTCTATAAATACGACCTGCGTTCCTTGATTTCAAATTCGAACCGTAGGTTGTTACTCCAGTTAATGTGGGAGTGAAAGTGAAATTATATTTTTTCCTATGTATTGTAATATAACGGTTTCCGTTAATTATATACAATTAATGCGTATTCTGTCACTATAGCCACGATTTTATGAGTATACTCTTACTTTTATTATTTATAACCATTTAGAATTCGAATTTTACATTGCATATTTATAAGTACCTTCCTACTTGATATCTAAAAATATATTTACTTGCCTTTATAAAAATAACATAAATTGAGGATGTTAAATTACCTCGGGGTGAAACATTTAATACGCTTTTTATATCAGCCAGTTTATAAAATTTATGATTGGAATATGTTATATATGAAAGTAAAAAAGCTGAGTGCAGTTTGTGCATTCCCCAGCTATATTTTTATAAGTTCTCCAGAGGCCATCGCATTAAAAATAACTACTCTTAATCTTAATTAAAAGAAGCCTTTTTATATGCGTTTCCCAGTTTAGTCACTGTAAAATTTACGTATCTGATTACGCGATACTTATTTTCGTTTATATCCTTATCCGAATGGATTGCATTCCGTGTGAGTGAAAGGGGTGGGATCGGAAAAGTCGATGCTTATTTAATAGCAGATGGGATGTAAACTAATTAAGATCGTTTAGGTTATTTCTCCAGCTTACCTCGCTAACTGGTGGACAGGGGGTATAATTTAACTACGTTTACCAACAACCATATGTAATATAGCTACATACCTATTATCAGAACGTGTAACGAATTTGGGAGAATTCGGACAAACCCATTCGGCTGAATCCGTTCGCTACGCCTAAAGAAAACTTCCCCTTACCAGAACACTGGTGATAACATTTATTTTCAGCTAAATCATCCCAAAATACTCACCTGCGAAAGATTCGTCTCTGGAAGACTGGCTCCGAAAGCTTTTTCCACGGAATATTTGATTTCAGAAGTAAGGAGAACTCGACTCGAAAAAATTAGCTATAAGAAAATTCGCCCAGAAATATCCATCCCAAAGACAAGCCGGTTCTGGAGAAACACTCTCTTGGTTGCTTATGTGAATTGCATCCCTTGCAAATGACAAGGGAACTTCCAGGGGCGTACTAATTGACAAATTGTTATTGTACAAGTTTGCAAACACTTTTCTCAGAACTGCAGCGGGTTGGTGGCATTCTGTTTTTTAAATTCTATTAATTATCACCCTTAGCAAGAAGAAAATGACAATTGCATCTCCTACAAATGTCAAGGGAAGTTCCAGTGGCGCCCCAAGTGACAAATCTCCATTACACAAGTTCCCAAAATTGCAGCGAATTACTGTGATTCTGTTTTTAAATTTTACTTTATAACACTATTTTCTAGTTTCTAGTTCTTAGAAGACGGTATGGAGTCTATTGTGGTAGTTAGTCAATGTAAATGCTGCCCTCACTGCGTATAAGCAGGCATTTAAATCGTAGTAGTAGGAGAGCTGGTAGACATTTTTGGGTAGGCATTTGAGGAACACTGAAAAGTTGTCCAATACTTCTCCAATAATACCCAAAGACAGAATTGCAGACCTGGCTGAGGAGTAGCGGGGCTTAATCAACCCCTATATTTTTCAAGATCCGAATTTTTTTTCTCATAAAATTTTCTTGAGGCATTTTTACACCTTTAAATTTGATATCTAAACAGCGACAAAATCAATAAGCCAGATCTCTGCATTTTCTAAGCCTCACGCCGCTGAAAGCCCTTTGCCACGCATATGTTCGAGAAAGGATCGTTGTCTGGACGAGACTTCCTTCATTGAATCCCAATTCCCACGAGACGAAGGTTCCAGTGATCAGTATTCCGGGAGCGGATATCCGGAGGGCAATTTTTTCCGGGAATGTATCTGCCGAGGGTGCCTTTTCCTAAGACGAATACTCGGAGGTAAATATTCCAGATTTTACCGAGACAAGTTTTTCAAGGCAAATTTACCGCACCTGAACATATTTCGAATAGTACCTAACACAGGCGTTCTTTGCTTGGCGGTTAATTTTTGATCATGTTATTCGAAATTGTAATTGAATTTGATTTGTAGGAAAATTATTTGATATTGACTTTGTTTAAATAATCCCGTTGTATTTTGATTTTTATTTATTGTTAATTTAGAAAGATAAGCAAAATTTGGAAATATGTGCGTGAAATGTGTTGTTAAAGATTATCTCCGGTCATTGCGATAAGTGTTATCGCTGCGTAAAAGTTAGACAAGCACAACACAGATCTCAGTGTTTCGGCGCCGCAGTCATTTTCATAAGAACGATAAGTTGGTTCGGAAAGTTGAAATGAAAGGGAAGACAAGATAGTTAAGTATACTTTATAATACCGGCCGTCAGTGTAGTATTAAGTGTGCCTCTGATATAACGTGGTGGTACTCACTTCTTTGTAAACAAAATATTACCTACCTACTACTATAAAAATTACGTTTAGCAATTTAAATTATAGCCTTTTTGCTGAAGTTTTAACACAAAATATATCTAATTTAAATGTGGTCCTGCAATTATTCAGGTATTTTATGTTTTTAAAGTTACTAAAAGTAAACGAAATCAGTGATAAATTACGAATCGCTTGGCCATTAAGTATGTGTCAGCTTTAAAACTATTATTTTTCAGTCAATGCTTCATTATTACAGTTGGAACTTTCAGAAAACAGGAATGCATAGACGCCGCGACGCCTGCTACGTCGCGACAACATCCGCCAACTTACATAAGTTTCCAATTTAATCTCATTCGTGAATCGTGACTGCTTTCTTCACTTAAATAAGAAACACTTGGTATGTTAAGTGTTAAGCATTGCATACAATCAACTTATTCAATTGGCAACCTAATTTGGAGCATAAAAAACCGTACCACGCCTTATGTTTAACTTTTATCTCATTTTATTTTCGAATACTTCCACCTAAATAATAAGTTTTTAATAGATTTATTGATTGTCTGTGCTGAAAGACTTTCAATTTCCATCTTGGTGTAATATTCAATTTCGATTAGTCGTTGATGGTATTTTATTGTGTAATGTCGAAAAAATAATAAAAGGTCAGATCCCAATTATACCATACAATAACCGTACAAATTGGCATAGTGTTGTTGATTGGTTTTCAAATTCGAAATTGTAGTCGATACGAAAGTCTGCGGGGCCATTTTGTGGGATAATCGCATACATAGATTACATTACCTCAGTGTAATGCAATCCGCTTGACATGTTATTTATCTAACCTACCAAAATTCCAAAAATACCTACCCTTTTCTGGAACTGAGATGAGATATTATTTAAACTCAGTAAAGTGGATGATAGAATTCTCGCAAGGAAAACCGATTCTCGAAATATGACTTTATCACCGGACGAAGGTCGACGGACGATTTTGGTCGATATTTCCGATGATTATCATTGTCTGACGTGTGGGGTCTCCGAGTATCGCGCCTTACTCCGATTCCCCTGAGCAGACACCAAATTACATTTTATTGGTTTTCAATGTTTTTCTTTTTTATTTATAACAATTTCTACTACGGTAACTCCTGCCCAAACGAAGATTACGATATTCCTATATCTTCCTGGATTTTTGGCCAGGCTATGGGGACAATTTTTGAGAAAATCTGATGCCGTTTACCTCTGATGACTGCCTCTTTTTCGCGCCCATAGAGAGAAAGTAAAAGTTCTTACCTCAATGATCGTGCTCTAACGCTAACCATTCGTTTAATTTTCAAAAAGTTGGTTTTTTGTGGGCGCTACAAATACGTGTAAGTACTGAATTCGAACGACATTGACGTTAATTCATCTATCAAAAACAATGTCACTGCGAATTATGAAATCGATACGAACTTTGGGACAAATTCCAAGTTTCGTAACTAAAGTTGTGCAATCCTGCTTATGCTTCGTAGGAACTGTCCTTTGCGTACACTACAACCTCAGCGTGTGCTTGTACAAACTAACAAGGGAAATTGTTATTGTAAGCGTTGTAGGATACTTGCCAATTTGTTCTGTCCTTGCCGCCGTGTATGTTTTTGACGAACCATCCGAATTTATTGAAAAATGTCTAATGCTATTTGGTGGTTTACTTCACCTAACAGCCAGTGTCTTTTGTATCCTTGAGAATAGCATTACGGATCCCGCAATAGCGCCATGTAGTGACATACAAGTGTTAATTCTCGGATTGTGTACTCTATCATGCGGAATTTGCATGGTTACCGATATTCTAAATGTTAACCAAGTATTTAGATTACCAATAAGCGAGAATGTCGACGAAAGTAGTTAATAAATGCCATATTGTTTATAGTCAAATTATTTAATGAAATTCGTGCCGGTTGAACAGACGAGAAGACGTTTGTGTAATTTTGCTGGTCTGTGGTTTGTATAGGAAGGGCCACTAAACACATTTAGACCATGGCACAGTTCATCTTTATCATCTAAATTTGGTACTTGTTTGATTAGTGTAATTGTAGTTACACCTTCTGTTATAGAGAATTTTGACATGCTTTTATTTTTCAGGGATTCATCGCTGCAAATGCGGTGTGTTGGTGGAGTAACGCCCTGCAAGGGGCCACGCGAGGGCTCGTGTACCGAGGCTACATTAGTCCAGGAGCTCTCCTTGTTAGCGCTGAACCATGTTCCCTGGAGGTTTTACGAGGTGCTTGGGCTCGTAGAGTGCTCCAACCCCCCTCGGGTTACAAGATAGTTGGCATTGGTAAGTTAAAATCTATGCGTACGAAGGAGTAATATTTAAAATACATTTGGTAACCGATTTACACCAAATCAGCAAAATATTGCACCCCAATTCCAGTTTTCTTACAGCGTTAATTTCAGAGAGAAAGATTCCTCTGGGTTACATTGACAGACATAATTAAAAAGAGAGGATACTGCAACTTCGAACGTAGAAGCCTTTAATCACGCCATTGTTGTTGCTATGCACTACAAATTTGAAATTTCCAGACAATAGGGAGAGGGAATATGGCTTGATTACTAAAGAGAGTTGGGATGGTGGCATGACAAGAATTTAAAATCGCTATTGATTTGTTCGCTACAAAATCGCCTGTATTGGCTGCATTTATATTACAACCCCTCAATTTTCTCCTTGCCTAATAAAACGCATCCGCCTTATATTTAGATTTGTGTGTATATTCCAATTATTTATTGCAGAAGACATTGAAGAGTGCCTTGTAACGAGCGTTGCCCAAACTCAATGGACACCTCTTCCCGAAGCAGTATGTGCTGTTGTCCTGAGACTTTCCAGTCAGGGGCGTCCGGCAGGAATTGAGTCCATTCGAGAGGCTTTAATACTAGCATTTCCTCACGTTTCCCCTCCCAGCGAGCGAACAATTTATGATACCCTTGCTCAACTGACAACTGAAAGGAAATTGTATCATACTTCTAAAGGATACTTTATTGTAACGCCAGAGTAAGTATATCAATTATATTCTATTATACGACGTCATCAATGAAAACACTAGATAACGCATAAATACACTTTAATTTCTCTGTGGCACTGTTCAGTTCAGAGATAGGTTTATAAAAAAGAAGCTTTCTTTTGACTCATTTATTTAGAATGAATTTACGTAATAATAAGTACCTAATAACTAATAAGTAATATAATAACAATAAATACTGTTTGTGTATTAGTTAACTCTGTATCTGCACGCAAAGATCTTTGCTACAGGTAGTTCCTCCTACTTCAACATATGAACAAGAGGTGGCTACTGTCTTGAATTTGAACATGATTACCCCATTTTCCAAGAACGTTGAACGCTCTATTCGCCCGTCTCGTCCTGACGTTCCACTTGCCTTTTATGGGTACCCTCTTCCGACACTTTGTTTTCAAGAGATTCGCTTCGACTTGACCAATAATAGTCGTCCAGCCAGACGATTCATTTTGCTCCTGTGACTATTTTCAGCCGACTAACTGTTTTCGCTCTTAAGGTTTTGACATCTGCAATGGATATATTTGTTCGCGACGTCCCAATGACCCTTGTGATATCCGATCATGATAAGGGCGTCGAGGAGGAGGACTATGGTTGGTAAAAAATTAATTCCTTTTGTTGAGACCTTTTATTCGTGAAAAATAAAACCAGCCCCCCCCCCCCCCCAAACCGCCTCTTTTGATAAGGAGTCAGAAAGAAGGGCGGTAGTTGGTAGAAAACAGTTATATTGTATTGTTGAGATCTTTAATCTTCAAGGTATAGGCTACTTAATGCAAAAAATTCCAGGACTAGGTTGATTCCTATAAAAGTAGTTCCACACGGCAGAAATGGGTCCGGACAACGGTGGTGTAGAGTGGTGAGCCGGCGAAGCATTAAGAGCACACGGAAATCTTTTTTTTAATTCTTAAAAAAATGCGTTAAAAAGAATATGAAAAAAACACATTTTTCGCTGATCATATCGCGCAAATGGTCGCCCTGAACTTGAATGGCGTAATGTGCACATTTTTTGGAATTTTCCATCACGTTTGCCAATGTTGCGGTCAATATGGCGGATGTTGGCCGTAATTTCGTCCAAGGTTCTTGACTTGTTGTCTTCGACTTCATGTAGCCTCGTAGAAAAGTCTGGCGGCGTCAAAATCGCTATGATTCGACCAAGGGAACAATGACTTCAATACATTGATTACGGCACGAGCTGTGTAAGGTGGTGCACCGTCTTGTTGAAACCAGTACCATTTTTGCAGATTACATTCGAATAAGCAACTTAAATGAAAAAACTTTTTGTAAATAGAGGTCCGCTTTTCAAACGCTTTGTCACTCGAAACTCATTTAAACATTCTCAAATGTCATGGTCTTATGTTCAAATTTTAAATTTTTTTGTATAATTGTTCAATGTTAGCACCCGGTTGGCCTTAGCACATCTTCCCTCCTTATATAATTCGCCTGTCCGGATTTTATAATACAGTTATATTTTTACAACTTGTGATATAATGTTGTAGCTAATACCATGTGCTTGCTATTGCAGAAGAAGGCGCTCTAGAAGCCATTCTCGTGGACGACGGAAACATGAGGACGGTAGTGTCAGTAAGGGTCTTTTAATGTCAAATGAAGAAGCATTGGTATTGGTGCATGGTGAAATGGCTACCATTAGAGATGGTGATATCACTCATCAATGCATACAAACAAACTTGGCAGACGTAATATGTGGAGGTGCGTGCAACATTTGCAGTCTTAAAACATGGGCATGGAACTATAATTCCCGATTTTTTTTTAGGTAATGCAAGTGATAAAATTCTGTATGCTCGTACCAATAAAAGGCGATCAGCGTCATTTCCCGCTCACAGAAGTCCAGATAGGAGAGGTTCGTTCAGATTGTGGGGAACGGCCAGGCGATTGCGGAGGTCTGCGTCAACACGGACAATAGCGAAACATTGCACAGACAGTAGTAGTAGTACAGATTACCCAAATAGCAGTGATTCTACACAGAATTCGAGTAAGTTATCTTTATTACACATTGTTGAACATTAAGATGGCGTTTTGCAATTGTAGAAAAGCCGTCACTGTTTACGAGATTATTCAGGCGTTCACGACGTTCGCCGTGTCACTTTAATACGTTTAGCGCCCAGTTTCCTCCAATGGAGTGGTTTAATTCCAAAGCCATACATTTGCATAGTGTGTCTACGCAAACTACTGCTACTGACAAGGTAGTTTATGAAAGAATCATCCATCGGCTCCTTTAATTTATTTTTTCAGGATTCTGCTATTTCCTTACCATATTACTTCGAGAATTCAGAAGTGGGATCTGCACGATCAGCAACGTTACCAAGACAGCACCGGAGACAACTTTCCAACGATTCGACATACGTCACCTCCTACGTTGAGTCTCGAGATCAATCTCCTAGTTTGAAAAGGAACAGTCCTTCTCATGCTTCTAGCACACTACCTCGTAACTCTAGTAATTTAAGAAGCCCATTCCATTCGACCAGAAGCTACGCAAGCTCACGAAGGACTAGTCGCTCAAGTTTATCACCCAAAATTGGTGTTTCAAGTGGCGAAGTTCAAGCAGACGTCGCGCAAAGGTTGAATGCAAGCAATTCACCGATTCGCGATGCAGTGAAACCGAATACAACGAAAACCCCTAGTTTAGAATCACTGAAAACTAGTCATAATACTATAAAGAAGTCGACCAAACCGGAACTCCGGGAGCATTCGAACGAATCTACCAGTGCCATTAACAAATCGTCCTTGCACGAGTTAACTACCGCCTTCAAAAATTCTGTTGCCTTAGATAATAGCGGCCCATCGAGCATCGAGTCGCATAAAAGTAGTAAAACTGCAAGTTCGGCGACGAGCGGACCTTCCAGCTTAGAATCACACAGAACTGTTATAACGCGACCTCCGAATAACAGCTCCAGTCCGAGTGGAAATTCAAAACGATCACCTGCAAAAGTGAAAGAGGGAGACCGAAGTAAAGCAAAAGAAGGACGAAAAGCCTCAAACTTACCGCACAGCAATTCGTTTACCTTACAGGTAACGACGAATCAGGGTGGTTCACTTACCAACAATGCTAATAACGCAATGACGGCAACGATCAACGGCGGTAATTCTGCAAATACGAAGATTTACGTTCAGAACTCTCCGGTGCGTTCGGTCATTACATTCGAGAATGGCCAGAGTGCTGACTCGAACCCTAACGTTGTTATAATTAACGGGACAGAACCGGTGAAGGAAACCGTCAATTGTCCGACAAGTGTTGCTCCAGAGGATCAGAAATATTCCAAAAACATAAATTCAAGCGGATTGAACAACACTACCGTTGACCGATCGTGCAAGGAACCAATGAACAACAACCGGAAATTATCCCTGCAGATACCCATGAAAGAAGGATTGAATTACAAAAACATTTTAAAAAATCAAGTGGGACTGGTTAGCCCAGACTTGGTGGCAATACAAAGTTTTGGAGGGTTTACCCGAAATTCATTCTGTAGCAACCCTCCCAGTCCCACTAAAAGCTACGATAGCATCTGTGATTCCGCGGGAAGCATACTGAGCAAGTACGTTTCGGATTCTAAAACTTCGCTAGAAAAACGAGTTGAATTACCTAATAATTTGGTCGAGAAGAACATTTTGGGATCGGAACCGAACATCTCCTACAAACAGGACTACAGAGATAAGACGTTGACCAGAGACAGTAAGCTTCAAGACTCGCAATTTCCGAGTCTGAGCGACTTGAGTTTTAATTTCACGAGCTTGGCCGCCCAAAAGATTCTGCAAGGGGTCAGCATAAATAGTATCGATACATTGGTGGAATTGAATACGGCGGCGGTAGAGAAACAAAATAATTGTGACGTGGTACATACTGATTTCGGTTTGGTTTGAAAGCGGTAAACTCCTAACTCAACTTTTTGTTTGGAAAAGATGATATTTAGGACCAACCAAAATGTTACTAGTGGTGCATTTAATTTAGTTTAGACAATTTCAAGGATGGTAATTTATTGCTAGTATTTATTCTATCGCCGGGTAACGTATGCGCAGTCTTTGGAGTCAGAATACCAATTTTATTAGGTAGGTACTGTATAGATCTATTAATACAAGGTTTCAGTGCCATGGCAGCCGTTATCTAAGAATGAAAGTGCTCTGGGTGGTCACTAACCATTTCATTTTCGGTATGAAATTTTATTGCTGCAAGTGAACTATCTTACGCCTGTGAGTGATTTTGAAAATTGTTGATACAATTCCAATTCACAAAATTTAATTTATAATCTTTCCACCTTTGGTGTGGTTTGAGTCACATTGTTATACAGTGCTATTAATTTAGAAGTAGACATAGGGATTTCTTATGTCTACTTTTAAATGACACAAATCCTTCTGAAAGATGCCTAATTTTTACAACCGAAATAACATACGCACGCATTTTGTATTGTCATTCTAGATTTTTTAATAAAAACGACAGTAATAGTTTGCTTTTAGGTTATGATGAAGAAATATTAAATTCGGTCGTTATTTCCCCTTAAGTTTCTTATGGGATTCTCTTCCACAAAAAAACATTCAGTTTCATATCCTCCGTTAAATTTGAAAGTTGTTTACGATGTCCTATGTGGGTCACATTTTTGTCATTTAAAACTAGACATAGGAAATCCCTATGTCTACTTCTAAATAAATATCACTCTATAATTGAATATAAAATGAATTTAGTTTGGTTAATGAAATTCAATATTCTGCTGGAAACCAGCTCCATAACAGCAACCTAAACTTACAAATAAGAACTAACACATGCATTACTGTTGTAGGAAAACTAGTTCAAATTGATGCCTATCGTTTCCTGTTCACTTCTGGCGATTTTGATTTGCTGTTTTGTCCAGTAGTAGTGCTATTGGAGTACAGTGGCTAACATTGCTGTTCTTCAATTGTTCAAAGATGTTTTATTTCTGTTGATTAACATACATTTTAACGCAATGTGCTACATAGTAATTCGATCAAGTAGCAAAAGGTAAGAATACTGAACTCAAATTAAAGACGCTAAGATTTGAATCAACTTTTTTGAATATCTTTAACATTTATTAACTAACTCTGCATAATACCTAGAGAAGTAATCAATTTCCTTTGATATATGCTTTAATGAATTCCAATGAAAAAGGGAAGGGGCAAAAGGATTACAAAAAAATATTAGCAAAAGTTCAGAATACCTAATGAAAGACATTTTATGCTCATTTTGTCTTGGTATTTCTCCACAGACGCCAAACCATCATCAAAGGTGCACAAAAATTGAATAGAATCATTTATACATATTTTAGAAGACAGTTTATTAATGCAGCTTTTTTACTACTTTATCCTGCCTCTTTTGCATAATCGTATGAAATGGAACAAATTACCCATTAATGTATTAAACATCATTTGCCCTACTTACCAGTAAACGACACACGCATGCAAGGTACTAAACTAGAGAAATGATTTTGTATATTCAGTATAAAGGAAAAGAGAATGCTTTTGTCTTGCATGTTTTCAACTTGGTTTGAAAAATTGAAGCGAATAACTTGTTAAATACTACCTAAGTTATATATAACTATTAAACTTTTAATAATGTCGGGTGTAAATAATAATCTGTATGCCGTTATACACTACAATTCGTTAGTCGTAGCAAATTTGTTTGTATGCAAAACTAATTAGAAACGTTGAAGGTTATACTACTTTGTATAAAGTTTTGTAAGCAATATTTGTAAAATAATTAATATAATAATAATAATAATAATAATAATGTTTATTCCCACAAAAACAACTAATAGGAAAACAAAAATAAAATAAATAAAGAAAATAAGAATAATGTGGGAAAGGACTGCATTCAGTGTAGCAATACCCTGATCTTCCATGCAGCCCTGTCAAGCATAATATAATAGCAACACATATATATATCAGTAACACCAATGAACGAACACTCACCACGCATTAAGAAAGAAAGAAAAAAATATATATATAAATAAGAAGAAATGCTACAAAACCTATAACGGCAATGTATTTGATATTAGCAACTGGCACATTTTAGATTTGAATGATGATGGACTGAGCATTTTGAGAGACCGCGGAATAGCATTATATATTTTTACCACGTTATACGAAAACGATTTTTCAAAATAACGGGTACTGTGGGTGGGAATATCTAACAGACCCCTATGTCGTAAAAACAAATTATGCACATCCGTGCGGTAACTTAAACGGTCAAGCAAGTATCCAGGAGTTTGGAAATAAAATAATTTATGATAGAACACAGATGAATGCAATATTCTCCTTTGATGCATATTAAGCCACCCTGCTTCCACAATTTTGTGAGAGATGTGATCCCTACGTCCGATACCGTAAACAAATCTTAAGCATGCATTTTGCACTCTTTGGATCCTCGTCGCCGTGACTTGTTCAATACATGCCCCATAGACTACATCACAAAAATTAAAATGGGACAAAATCACAGAATTAGACAAATGCAATTTAATTTTAGGAGTAAGAATATTTCTATTGGGGTACAGTTTTCTTAGAGTCCCAAACGCTTTGCTCACACAGGCACTGACATGCTGTGTAAATTTAAGATCTGCATCCATGTTTAGACCCAAATTACGTGACATGTTCATTACAGGCAGCAGCACATTTCGGAGATGAATTTTAATAAAAGGTTCCCTAGCTAATTTACGACCGAAAATAACAACCGCAGATTTTGTCGAGTTAATGTGCAAATTGTGGTCTAGAGCAATATCAGCCAAAGTATTTATCTCCTTGTTCACTATTTCAACGGCTTCGTTCAATTTAGCAGGATTAAAACTATGATAAATCTGCGTATCATCCGCATATTGATGGTACAGATTACTACAAATGGAATTAGAATAAATAATATATAAAAATGGTCCCAATACGGAACCCTGCGGAACACCCCGTCGTATGTCAAGTGAAGAGGAACGAGTATTATTCACAAGAACGCTCTGCCGCCTACCTTGAACATAAGAAGAGATTAATTGTATAGCCGTAGAATGAAAACCGTAGTGATGTAGTATTCTAAGGAGTAGTTTATGGTCGATAGTGTCAAATGCCTTTGAGAAATCGAGTAAAACTGCTATTGTGAGCTTCCCTGAGTCAGTTGCCCGTATGATATCATCCGTGATATTTAGTAGTGCAGAAGTACAGCTGTGACCTTCTCGAAATCCAGATTGGAACTTAGACAATAAACGGTTGTTTTTGAAGTAATCACTAATTTGAGCCTTCATTACCTTTTCCAGGACCTTGGATAAAGTCGGCAAAATACTTATTGGTCGAAGGTCCTTGTAGTCTTTAGGGCATCGATTTTTAGGAATGGGTCTCACAAGTGCAGTTTTCCAAGCTGTAGGGAAAATATTAGAGGATAGGCAGACATTGACAATGTGGGTTATATAAGGAACCATGGACGGACAACACATCTGAATCATTTGAATATTGATGCCATCAGAACCAAAAGCTTTAGACTTAATCCCATTGAGTATAGTTAACACTGTTGTATCATCAACAGGAGTGAATGTAAATATGGTGGTGACATTAGGATGAATGGAGTTATAACCATTAGACGAGGTATGTATGTTATTCGAAGGAACAGAGTTAATGAAATAGGAGTTTATGTCATCGGGATTACTTAAGTGATGTGGGATTGTAGAATGATTCTTCTTGTAAATATCTAAGTTATTAATTGCCCTCCACAGAGATGTTTTATGATATTTAGCTAAAGTAAAATTTAAGTAGGCTTTCTTTTCATTTTTAATTGAAACGGACACTAGACTTCTAAGAGATTTGTAATACTCAAAGTGCCCAGCGATTTTGGTTCGTTTGTAACGTTTATATGCACTATCTCTTAATTTCATCATAAATTTTACATTACTAGTTAGCCATGGTAATTCCGGTTTGTTAAGAAGTTTGGTTTTAAGGGGGAAATACAGATCAAAAATATAAAGCAAGATGCCAGAGAATGTGTCAACCTTATCATTTACACTAGGTAACATATATATTTCATGCCAGTTGAGTTGAGACAGTGTTAAATCAAAATATTGAGATACTTCATGAAAATTATAGTAGTCCCTATAAGTGAGTCTTGACATAATTGGACGGTCACATACAGTAGTTATGGAGCATGTTATGAAGTTATGGTCAGAAGCTAAATGAGAAAGTGTAACCGCAGAGAACAAAACAGTCTGCGGATCGGACACAAGAATATGATCAATTAGGGAGGACGAAAGTGCTGTTACCCGAGTTGAATCTTTAATTATTTGTTGTAATCCGAGCGCATCCAACATTGATTTATAACGAACGACACAAACTTCTTCAGATTTCAAATAATCAATGTTAAAATCGCCCAGCACATAAATATTCCTATGAATCGGTAGAATATTGCACATCGCATCCTCAAACTCCGCGATAAAATTTAAAACATTGGTATTGGGAGGCCTATAGACAACACCCACAATAAATATTACCTTATTTTTATCAACAACTCGTAACCAAAGCTGCTCATACGTTTTAGAAACATCTTGTTCTATAAAAGTTGCTTTGTAGTTTGATTTCACGTAAATGCCCACTCCACCTCATCGACTGCCACGATCCTTTCGTAAAAAATTATAATTTTCAATTGCAACAATATGCGAGTCAATACCATTATGTAGCCAGGTTTCACTAACTGCAACAAAATCAAATTTATTCATCCTTACATGTTCAGAAAATTCAACAAAATTTCTGGTGAGCGACCGCACATTGATATGAGCAAATGTGGTATTACTCATAATTCGTTCACAGGGAACTAATTATAGGCCACCTAAATACGCAAAGGAAAAATACAACAAATAATCGGTTTATAATACATACCAAAAATTTGAATACTGAATATTCTACACAAAGAAAAAAAACTATAGTTCGTTATATACACACAAATGAATGTAGCATCATTGCTGATTAATAATAATATAGATTTTACATTTGAATAAAGAAAACACACAAGAAAAAACAAGTAATCTCTCAAACTCAATAAAGGGGTTTATCTTCACTGCTAAGCTCACTACACTAGTTCGAATTATCAAAACTGTATAGCTTCACATCTGCATTAACTTTGAATAGTACATTTCCATCTCTTGTCCAACAATTCGATTTCCCATAAACACCTTGGAGCTCCATGTACTTTTTATGCCTTCTAGCAGTAAGATCCTCTCGTAGAACCAATGCAGTCCCTTTAAGTTTACTTTTTGAACTATATACCAACTGACGAATACGATAATTGTTAAATTTGATTATTATGGCACGTATTTTATTCGGCGATAATGCACCTACTCTATGTGACCTCTCAATATCGTTAATAGTTAGATTTCAATTTAATTTATCATTTAAAATATGGATTACTGCTTCATCCGTATTTTCATTCTGCAATTCTTTGACCCCAAAGACACGCAAATTACTTCTTCGGCTCCGTTGTTCCAAATCATCAATTTTATTATTAAGCAAAGTAATGCTTTTTGCATTATTCTCGCATTTAAGACATATCCTTCATAAAATTATCTAACTTATTGTTAAAATTGGTATTAAGATTAGATATACTGTTGTTGATACCTGCCAACTCCTTTTTCAATTCTTCCATCATATCTAACATACTTTCCATTGTGCAGAAGCTGGACTGACTTGATTGCGACTGATCCTCTGGTAGTTGCAGGCCCTCTTTTTCTTTACGAGTTACAGATCGCGTTTTAAACATTTGTTAACAGCCGCACTTGTATTAGGATTATCTGTTGTGGTAGATAGGTAAAGCCAGTGAACCTTTCACCCGAAATCAATTTATATACACTGATAAGTTACAATTTAGTAGGTAATCCTTACTAATATCACTATACACAAACAATGCAATATAAAAGTACAATTTAAGGCAGGAGCACAAATTATGCGTGTTATTCGCTTGCCGTCATACTACGCTCTCTCAAATGGTGCGCACTTTCAGAAAATGTAATGAAAAATAGTGGTTGCTATAATAAGTAAGCTAAAATAAACCCCCCTTTACCATTCAGAATGGATACCATAAAAAGATTCTTTAAAAAGGTTGTTTTGAAGGCAAAATGTGCACCCTGTACGTATGGGTACACACGAGCGTACACATGTTTATTACCTTCAAGTTCATATATTATTTTCGAATTGTTTTAATTGATGGTTATACATTTATAAGCTCAGATATATGAATACACGTTTCTAATCCAGACCTACATTATCGCCTTGGTTGGCACTATGCGTAACATTT